CGACAACGAAGATTTGCGTTTTTGTATTAAAACAATTAAAAATATTTGTAATATTGATCATCGTAAGCTTAACACAATCTTATATTATTGATAATTTATTCACAATTATAATGAATTTGTTTAAAATAATGATTAAAAAGTATATTATATTGCGATTAATATCATTAAAATATACATTACAAATTATAACAAATATAATATTAAAAACTAATGAAATCAAACATGTGAAACACCTCACTCCTTCAAGACAAAACGTATATAAAACAAATAAAAACAATTATTAAAAATGTTAAAGATGAATGTTCTGTTTTAGATGACAAAAGAATAACTTGGGATTATTGTAAAATGAAAGTAAAAGAGTTTTCAATCAATTTTGCAAAACACAAAGCAAGGGTTAAGAGAAAAATTGAAAAAGAGATATCAATCAAATTAAAACAACTTCAAGATCTCAATCCGGTTAATAAGGATCAGCTTAACGAAATCGAGCGTCTTGAAAAAACCCTTAATAAATTCTATGTAGACAAAATTAAAGGGCAACAGATCCGTTCACGCATAAAATGGTGCGAAGAAGGTGAAAAAAATAATAATTTTTTCCTTGGGCTTGAAAATAATAATCAAATTAAGAAAACCATTATTAAATTGGAAACAGATAGTGGTGAGATTATTACAGACCAAACACAAATTTTAAAACAAGAAGTTGTTTACTTTAAAACTATTTATAGTTCGATTAACCCCGACGAAAATGAATTAAATAATTACTTAGACTCAATTAAATTTGATTATGTTTTGAATGAGAATGATCAAAACAGTTGTGAAGGTTTGTTAACATTGCAAGAATGTGAAATAGCAGTTAAGAGTATGGCATTGAATAAGTCAAATATTATTGTGTATTCAAAAGTGACATTTATTTAGAAAGTTTCCATCTTTATATTAAGAATTTAAAAATGAAAACAATTATGACAAAGTTGAGATTAGGTGTTCTTGACCTTGAGGTTGAAAGAGGAAGATGGGCCAAAAAAAAAAAAAACGAACGAGTATGTAAACTATGTAATTATGATTTGGTTGAAAATGAGTTCCATTTTATTTTACAATATCCCTTTAATCAATTTAAATTTTTCTTGCATAAACTGGACCTCCCAAATGTCGTTATTACTTTACGTTCACTTATTGTAGTTGACCATTTAAAAGGTCAAGATTACTTTTTAATTAATTATATTTAGTTGTTGCCTCATTCACAATTTTTAGATTTAGAATGAAGTATTATGATTGTTCATCAAAACCAGATTTATTCAATACCTTTTTAAACGAATTAGAATGGCGTATAACTGGATTTACTTAATTTCT